TCTGCCAACAACCCACTGTGTGATCTTAGACGATTTACTTAACTTCCGTGAGCCTCTGTTTAGACATCAGTGAAATGAGGAAAATAATACTTACAGTACCTGGATTGTTCTAAAGATTCAATGAACTGTGTATTTGTAAAAGCTGGTACATATCTAGCCTTTGTAGAGGCTTTGTGTATTATTGTTATTCCTGGTATTATATTTTACAATGGTTGGCAAAAAATAGAATGAGCAGAACAAAATAAACTTACGTTACTAAGAAAAAAAGGTAAGAACTAATGAGAGGGTTTTTAATGATTCCCTTCTATTAAAAGTACTGGCAAAGTAAGCTTTCCACATACCTGGCCCTAGGGGTTCTCATCCCACCTCAAATTAACTTGGTCGCCACTATGGTGAAGCCAAGTGAAAGTAATTACCCTCTAATGATGCATTTTTTTCTCAAAGGAATAAATATTATAATATGTTATATTATAATGATGAACATGCAATAGCTGACTAAAATTGAAATTATCAACCAATCATCCAGGCAGCTAGTCCAATAACAGAACACTTCCCACAACTCTGAGGCTAGTAGAACATCAGAAGATAGAGTTGAGATTTTTCTTTGATGTCTGACTTTTCTTTGATTTCTACAAAGTCACTGAAGGCCTCAAATTTTTAAACTATAAAATGGAATCAATTCTCTCCTTGTAAGTTTGGTATAAGGATCAAGTCAGACAATGTGTACAAAGGCTATGCAAATATTAAATCACTTTACAAATGCAACATTTTTTTTCCTTGAAAGTCATCATTTATTGTCATTTCATTTCAAATCGAATTCTACAATCCTCTTCCTAGTATTTTGGCCAATAATTTATAAAACTCTGGCATGGCAGTATACTCAAATAATTTTATGATTCAGATTTAGAGACTCCTACATTATAACTCATTAGCTCTTGTGATCAGCAACTTCTAAGCTTAAAATTCACATCTTAGATGTTTATAAAATATTGAACCTTAAAGTAGCTGTCATTTTCTGTAAACATATTTTAAAACCAGTAGTGAATATATGAAGACAATCAAATTTGTTACAAATCTTTTCTGAACCTGGCTGCTATGGCACATCAAGATGGATTTCACAGTTATAGATCTACAGAGGAATGTTTAGAGATAAGATGAAAGCAGTCCTCCTTATTAATCACACATTGTGTATTTGACTTCTGCCTCCTGCTTCAGCCTTTAAATCAACTACATCTGGTTCTTGCTACTTAAGTGTGCCATTAGATTTTGCATTAAAAGGCAGTTACTCCTGGAGAAGGCAGCCCCATTTGTGATTAAAAAATAATTAACTAGAGCTATATTCATGCTACTCATCATGGCAGCCTAAATGAGCATTTTAGTACAGGTTGGAGACTTACTTTATTTCTACAACAGGGTCAGCAGAATTGAGAGGCACTTTATGGTTGCGATGAATGCTAGCATGAAATAGTTACTTTGCTTTGCTGGTGTCAACCTTTATAGTTACAGAAAGCACAATAATACAGAATGGTCAACAGCTGATACAAAAAGACTGAACCTTGATGTAGCCACCTATGCTGAGGGTGTCCTCCCTGTGAAGACTAGGCTACATGATTATTATTACACCTGGAGCAAGTCAAACTCTGGGAACAGACTCCTGCTAACCAACGGCATAAGAAAATGATGTACAATTATCAAGCAGATCTTGTATTGGAGTTCACTGATCAGTGAACTCTCTCAGGAGGAAAATTTGCATAGAAAGTCAGATTTCTCGATAAGCAGGGAATCTGATATTTCAAAGTAAATTTGATGGTTTAAATCAGTGTTACTCAAGGACATTGCTGTCATTTAGGAAATATGTTAAGAAGTTTGCACCAGAATACAAACTAGAGCATCACTTTCTTCATTGAGAAAGTCTTGCATGTGTGTTTGTATATATACACATCAAGTGAACGAACTAAACAGTGTGCTTAGTGACATAGACAATTTGCATCCTAGTGCAAACTCCTCATTTCATGGCTATTCACAAGCAGGTCTTATACAGGCAGTTATTCTATGGACCACACTTTGAGATGCACTGATTCTTTACCTGAATAAGAATTACATTGGGAAGCTTTAAAAAATGTACAGTTTCCCAGTACATGACCTTAAAGATTTCTGGTGTTTTGTACCTCCATCTGCATTTTAAAGTTCTCCCCACATAGTTTTGATGAACACTCAAGCTTTAAGGGCTACATAATAAAATGCATAGCATAATGAAGCAGTGCTATAGGCTAAATAGTTTAGAGGTTAACAACATGGCTTTTGGAGCTGCAAGTTGAGTTCTTGCTTGTTCTTGAGCAAGTTGGGGGTTTCTGTGCCTCAATAGTCTCATCTATACAGCAACTATAACATACATAATTGTGAGGTTTAAGTGTGATTATAAAAGGAAAACATGTAGCTCAGTGCCTGTTGCATAGTACGCAATTGATAACTGTCAGCTATGAGTGATAGCTATTATCTTTATAATGGAGACATATCTATAATTTTTTAAGATACATACACTTATGTATAACCTCAAATTCCTTGGAAAAGTGAGGAACATACTGTTAATGTTTTCCTGCCTGAAATTTCTTCTGCTAAACATTTATCAAAGGTAAAGATCTAAAATCTTGGTTGTAAGTGTTAAAAACCTAAATCAATGTGATTGAAGGGGAAAAAAGGTTGGCTGCTCAATGGGAGACTGTTAGATCATGCAACTTACGACTGAATGTCCAAGGGTGGAACTAGCTAAAAATAAAGCTAGGTCCAGGTGCTCAAAAGGTATCACCTGACTCTGTGTCTATCTATGTATGCATCCAGGTATCTATGTATGTACATAGATCGATTGATCTGTCTGTCTGTCTATGTATGTATGTATGTATGTATGTATGTATGTATGTATGTATCTATCTATCTATCTATCTATCTATCTATCTATCTATCTATCTATCTATCTATCTCCCTATCTAACATCTGTCTTTCTGAGTCAGCTTCATTCTTGGGTGACTCTGGTTTTGTGGTGGCAAAATCGGGCATCAACTGTATTGGGCATATGTCACCAGCTTATTAACCACAGAGGAAAACAAAGTTATTTTGTATACGAGTTTGATAAAATTTCAGAACTGAGGCTAATGGCCTTTCTTGTGATGTCTTCCCATTCTTGAGCAATTCACACTTATGAAGTAAGAGCAGAACATTCTGACTTGCCAGGTTAGAACCTGTACTCATTTGTGATGCTGGGGTGGGACAACTCTACCAGAAGCATTTGTTCTGAAGGGCAAAAAGATAACTTCCCAAAAGAAAGTTAAGGAATGCTATTAGGAAAAAGGGAACATAGGATGTGGAATCCAAAATGACAGATTTTTATTATGCTGTCATACCCTCTTTTTCTCTACTTGCCTCTTGTTGTTTAAATATGTTGGTTCAATTGGAGTAAAGTCAAGATTTGGCCTATAGGCCTCACATTTTGATAATTTTCAGAGATTTATTCTAATATATTTTGTATTTGTTTTATAATAAACTTTTATAGGTTGGATTTTTTTTCCTCCTATGTCTAATTTGGGGGAAAAAGAATGCAGGGGAATTATGTTATATTGACCAAGAAGGAATTTAGGATGTATTAGTAATAATATGAGTTTGATTGAAAACTCATTTTCGTTAGCATGGGACAGATTCGTGTTTGATAAATAGAAATAAGCAAGGGATGATGTTAGCAAGTGAGCTGCCAAAGCTTTACAAAGGGAAATTTACATTTAGACTATATTTATTACATGATAATAATTTTACAATGGATTATGAAATAGTGGATGTATTATGGTTCACTAAATCAGTAAAAATCACGTAGCTGTTAATGATTTGGAACCCAGCTTGTGAAGCACGACTTGGCAGAGCTATCAAGTGGTTGAAAGTGTTGGTATGAGAGTTAAGGACTTCAGTGCTCAAGTCCAAGTCTGACTGTTTTTGTAGTGTATGGCCTTGGACCTGACTTCTCTAGGATGCAATTTCCCTATATGTGTAATTGAGTAATAAAATGTAGTGATCACACAGTGGTGGAGGAATTAAGTGCACTGACAGGGAGGTACAGGTTTCTTTTGTATTTTTCAAATAATGGATATGTTCAGCTTTATTCTCCCAGGTACCTCATAGCCTCCCTTACAGTAAGTCACCTCATAATTCTCCATGGTTCCTATGGCACTATTTATTTTAGCACTATACTGTTCTCTAAGATGGCACCATAAAGGACTAAATATTACCCAAAGCAAGAAGGGGAAATGCTGCTATATGGGTTGTACTTTCAGTCCTATTTTTGAGCTTGCGAAGGAGCACAGAGAATGATTATAGCCACCTCTCAGGCTTTGAAGCTCATTTCATACATCATTGCCTATATTTTAATATTCCTTTACAGGTTTTTGTTTTGGACATCATCCTTCCTCCCACTCCTCATCCCATTCCCCCAAAGCAGTGTGATCTTTCATTTATCATTACAAAAATGAAAGCAGGAGGCTGAATTTTTCTGAGATAAGTGGTCAGTATGGTGTAATGGAAAAACTAGAGCACCAATAATTCGATTTAAATTAGTATGGGAATTTGGCTGCATTCTTGCTGAACAACCTTGGGTTTATCACTGGCCCTCTCTGATTCTATTTTTTCATCTATAAAAGAAACAGAACAATAAAGCTGACTGTGATACATCTTTGCTATAAAGGCTAAATGGATAATGTCAACAATGAGAAAGTGTGATCCAAGTGCAAATTGTCATTACGATTGGGATTATTATAAATATATTATCAGTATATTAGGAATTTATTGACAACTGGATTCCTGTGTGCCCTGCTCCCATTTCTCTAACTCCCAGAGATGCAGAGGATCCCCGCCAGATGGCTGATTTGCCAGCTGTGTCTTGTTTTGTCATTGTAAATATTACAGGCCCCAACTGGGAGGCTTTGCTTATAATGTGATGTTTTGTCCTTTATCTCTTGCAGCTTGAGAATTACATTGTGGAAAATATGAAGTCGGAGATGGCCCAGATACAGCAGAATGCAGTTCAGAACCACACGGCTACCATGCTGGAGATAGGAACCAGTCTGCTGTCTCAGACTGCAGAGCAGACCAGAAAGCTGACAGATGTTGAGACCCAGGTACACCCCCAGGGCCAGAGTCCACAGACTCAACCAGGAAGATTTTTTTTCTTTAGCTTGCTCCATAAACACAGAGCACATTTCAGCACCGTGATTAGGGAAACATACATTTTTGTTTATTGGTAATAACAACAATGACTGCCTGACATGCTATGCGTGTTTCTTTTGATCTAATGAGGGTTGGTATATTTAGCTTTGCATATGTTTGCAAAAACAGGGCCAGCAAAGGACCTCATCAATGTTTAAATTCAAATAAGTACTGCAGCTACCAACTGTGATATGATATGTGTCAAACAAAGTAGCTATTTGGGTCAGATTGGTGTCTTTGTTTTGCATTTTTGACCTGTTTTGTTTTGTCTCTGGTAATGCTGTAGCCATAAGGGCACCTGCAGATGGTTTTTGCATTCAGCAGATAGAAAGGAAAATTCCAAATGAAGCTATCAGGAATATGTGTGCATATACATATATCTACCTATTGAGGCCAATGACGTACTTATTTGAGCACCGAGTAAAAACTAGGGATGCCCTTTCATCACCACTGTCACAAACACGCCATCATAGTTTACTGGCAAATAGCAAATATCATTTTTGATGACTATCATTTTGATGACTGTCATTTTTAACTGTCTCTTTGTTCCCTTTTAGCCATGAAAATCATTATTCCAGTTACCATTCTGAAACCCAAGGGATGATTCTATCCCAACGTAGTTGATTTCTGACATGAAAGCTGAAATATATACATTCAAAAATAAGGTGCAACATGATTTCTATTTTATTTCATTTGTGTTATTGGCATCACAGATAGGTTGGTATTTAAAGAAAAATAGCAATGGTAATTGATACAGATAAAACATTTTATATAACACAACTTCCCCTGCACAAATGGTTTTTATGAAAATCACTTAGAGCAGATAGATCTTTTAGCTAGAGTGATTTCTCATATTCATGCAGCTAGTGTATAAAATCTGGGATTCAAACTCCAGGATACTCATTTCTTTTCTATCCCCCTTGATTAGTAACACTAATAATTAACTAATTGAATAAGAACTTAAGTATTGACTACATTGGAGCAATGATTCACATGAGCTTTGGAAAATACTTTTTGCTGCCCATCAGCATCAGATGAACATGGGAGATGGGTGGAACTACATATTGTCCCTGAAAATTACCAGACTTTGTCTAATCATTCATTGTCACAGTAAGTTTGATAATATATACAACCTGGTTTCTTGTGGTATAAATAATGTGACTGTATTATTTATTTTATTTTATTAGAACAGAATGCTCCCCCTCTCCTAACAAAATACTCTCATGTTCAAAAACAAATGCACAATATATCCTACTTAATTGCATATTTGAAATGTGTATAAGTTTCTATTACAATAACTTTTATAGAACACATGGAAGGGTCTTGTTTAATTTTTTTATCCCCTAAAACCTTGTGCCTTGGGTTGTTTTTTGATCTCTTTCTACCTAGGAGTTGGAGTTGTGGGGAAAAAAATGTCCGATTGTTAGTATGTTAATCTCCAAACTGTTAAGATGCATGCTGTGTAAAGTATTAAGAGATAAATTGTACTGCGTCCTTAAGGCCAGAAGACGTGTACTTTATTGAAAATGGTACAGAAAATTCAATGAAAAAGAATCACTACTCCCTATATGAAGCAGCTAAAACTTACTATTAAAGACCAAGGAAAGTTTATTAGATACAGCGAGAACAATTTTAAGATAGCTGAAACGCAGAAAACATTTCAAAAATCACAAATCCATCACGAGTAGCAATAAAAGGAAAGTAGAAAAGGACAACAATGGCTCAAATTATGCCCTGCCTTAAGAAGGGAAGCCTATGTGTTTTTTCCCTTTCATTTTCATGTCTTCCAATTGCCTATGCTATTTGTAGTTGTGATGCTTCAAACTTGTTATATGTAAATGTATACCCTCGTGCTACTTATTTGAACTATTGCAACAGGACATGTTCCGCTTAGACATAACCACTCAAGTGAACTCAAATCCTGATTCAGAGCCAAGTTTACAAAAGTAATCTGAATTATTTCTTAACTTCCATACACTCTATTCATTTTTAATAAGCATTTATAAACCAGTAGATCCTTCTGTGCTATCCAGGTATGCTCTCATGGTTTTCCTCCTATATTCATCTAACATGGCTTCACACTGGTAAGGGTTGCTTTTCCTAAAACTGACTTCAGGTCCTCAGTTTATTTCAGGAACTCATGACAATGTCTTTCCAATACATTTTAGTGCCCTAGCTTTCACACGATTATGTTATAAAATAAGTAACTTATTGTTTTCTAGTCTTCTGCTGACCTTCTAGATTTACAACTTAACAAAACGTGGAAACCACAGGTTCACTCCATAGCATTTTAAGATCCTCCTGTGCTCAAAAAAGTATCATGATCAGGAAAGATACCAGTAATGACCACACCTGAATAACACTGCTGGCCATTGTGGCAATGATTAGAAACCACTACCATGCCTTTTCCTTCCCCCTCAATCTGGCTTGCAGTGTTTTTCTCACTCTGTTATCAGTTTGTACCAATATCTCTTTGCCTTCAAGTTCCTCTTTCCAAGAGTACAATGTGAAGGGGTTTGTTTGAGGAATTATTCATGTCACTTCCTGTAGTGTCATTCTATTTCTCACTTCTTTCTCAGGCAAATTTGGTTTTGGGGGAAATTAACAGACAAACAAATCGCCTTAAATTTTACCTCTAATAATCCATGCTTGGCTCAGTTCTAAATAATTTTACATATATTAGCTATTTAATAATAATAATGAATTCTATAAGGTAGATGATGTACCATGCTATGTTTATTTCCTTATTATCACTTATTATTATTTTTTGAGATAGGGTCTCACTCTGTCACCCAGGCTGAAGTGCAGTGACTGATCAGGGCTCACTGTAGCCTCAACCTTCGGGTTTCAGGTGATCCTTCCACTCCAGCCTCACGAGCAGCTGGGACTACAGGTGTGTGCCACCATGCTCAGCTAACTTCTTTATTTTTTGTAGAGACCAGGTCTTGCTATGTTGCCCAGGCTTGTCTCGATCTCATAGGTTCAAGCAATTCACCTGCCTTGGCCTCCCAAAGTGCTTGGATTACAGACATAAGCAATCACTCCTGCCTTTGGGTGCTTCCTTATGTAAGATGTTTTAATGGGTCCTGTTAGAATGCAACAAGCAGTCTTTACCTTCATGAGTTTGAGTTAATGTGACAAAATACTTCTAAGTCATTTCTTTCTTAACTTTCAGTCAAATTAATGATCTGTGGAGCCCTTCCTCACAGCCTTAAAGATGTACCTTTCCAGTCTCCTACTGTGGGAAGTATAACTGACCACTGCTTGCCAATGGCTGTGCTCTGAAATCCACTGCTGTGTTGGTGCAGAGACCACAATTTCCAGCAGTCACTTCCACTCATTGTGGCAGGGATATGTAGGCCTGCTCCTGGGAGCTGTACAAGTCCACTGACACATGACTTTGGCTAGGGGCTCTCCATCAGCCTTGCTAGAACTGTTGCATGGCTGCCTTGAGGGATAAGACTTCCACCCAACTCTTCTTCCTTCCCTCTCCTCTTTCCTGCAATTAGACCAGCATCCCAGTCTGAAGCCTCTCCAAACCTCCTCTGTCTTCCTCCCAATTTTTCCTCATGGGCAGTTCCCCTAATATATTTCCTGCATGTTTAATCCCATTTAATCATCCTTTCAGACATCACAAATAATCACATGTGCTGTTTGTACCTCAATAGCACTCATTAGAAATATAAGGCAAGCTAGGTATGGAGGCCCACACCTAAAATCCCAGCACTGTAGGGGACAGCCAGATGGAAAAATGATTTGAGCCCAGGAGTTTGACAGCAGCCTGGACAACATAGCAAGATCCTATCTCTTTAAAAAAAAAAAAAAAAAAGCCAGGCATAGTAATGCGTGCCTGTAGCCTAGTTACTCAGGGGACTAAGGCTGGAGGATCCCTTGAGCCTAGGGAGTTCAAAGTTACAGTGAGCTATGATCACGCCACTGCACTCCAGCATGGTGACAGAGCAAGACCCTATCTTTAAATATATATATACTTCTCTGTGTGTGTGTGTGTGTGTGTGTGTGTGTGTGTATTAGGCAGTTCAGAAACAGTTTGTTCAATGAGCATGAATCTTTAGGCATAAACAGATTTCTTCTTAGATCTACTTTCAAAGGGCAGCTCTCGAAGTTGAGTTGCTGTATCTCTTTGTCTTGATGAGAAACAGTTGAATACACTTTTAATTTTGGTTTAATGGAAATGATGAAACAAACTTTTTAGTGGGTCATTTAAGCAAAATATCTTGTAATTAATTTTCTTACAAGATTTAGGAAAAGTGTTTGATAAGCCACTAGGAGGGGGCTCAGCAGCCTATGGCCCACAGGTCAAATTTGACCAGACATCTTATTTTGTAGATAAAGTTTTATTGGACACAGCTGCACTCATATATTTATATGTTGTCTGTGGCTGCTATTTCACTAAAATGGCACAGCTAAATTGTTATACCAGAGACTATTTGGCCCACCAAGCCTAAGATGTTTACTATCTGGGCCTTTACAGAAAAATCTGACCAACTCCTGCACTAGTATGTAAATTCCTAAGAAGCGAGTTTTGTTTTGTTTTGTTTTGTTCTTGTTCACTGCTCTATCGACAGGATTTAGAACAGGACTGGTGCATAGGCTCTCAATAAATACTTGTGAATAAAACTAAGTTTTAGTCCCTTAATCTTTGCAGGTTTCAGCCCAATGTCGCCAAGCCTGAGGACAATATGCTGAGGCTTGTGTGTTGATGGTAATAGGCACCCACAAATAGCTGATGGATCAGAAGAGGACTTTGAACAGAAGCAGTCTACTGCAAAGATGTCTGACCCAACTAAGAACATTGAGTGAATGGTTTTTTGTTTTTTGGGTTTTTTTGTTTATTTTTCTTTTCCGTACTCTGGGAAGCATAAGAAATTTGGACACCTTCCTTACTCGTGGT